TGGTTTCCGTCACTTCAAGGACGGTATCAGTCATCTTTCCCAATGGAGTGGGCGTGAGGATCGTGAACTTCAACGAGTTCTCCTTGCTGCCATTGCCAATGCTCCCAATATCAATAACGAGATTATGCGTGCGCTCCGTGGTTTACATGACTTCATCTATCTTGCACAATACAACAGTCACAGTAAAGCCACCTTGCGTTACATGGGGCAAGCTTTGCACGCATTCCACCTTAACAAGCAACATTTCATTGACCTTGGTGCTCGCAGAGGTAAAAATGGTCCTTTGTACCACTTTAATATCACGAAACTCTATGCCCTCCTCACCTATGTCGGTCACATTCAAGAGATGGGTGCTTGTCCTCAATACTCAACGGAGATTACCGAAACTTGCCACCAGACCATGGCAAAGCAGGCGTATCGGGCCACCAATAAGAGGGATTATGAGAAGCAGATGTGTCGTTACCTCGATCGTTCTGATCGCACCTTTCTCCTCAAAGAGGTATTGCGTTGGTGGAGAAAGCAAGAGAAGCGTGATATCCTCGAGGAGGCTATTAAGGACCACTCACCGGATTATCAAACACTAGCTCGAGCTCTACTACTCGAGAGTGTTGATGAGGAAATGGTGTCACACTCACGGTCACAGGAGAGGGGCCACATTTGGCTTAATCTTAAACCCCATCATTCAAAGCGTTCTCTGGAGGACTTGGCATCGATCTATAACATTCCACACTTCCTGAGAGACATTGCCACCTTCCTTTCTTCATTCAACGCTCCCCTGTGGCCTAGTTCAGACAAGATTGTAGACACGTGGTTGAACTGTCGTATACAACTCCCCCTAGTGCAAGATGAGGATGAACAAGCGGCAATACGCACTGTGCAGGCATTACCACCATCCCCATCGCTACCTTATGGGCGCTGTAGCTGTGTACTTGTCACTGAAGATAAGGATGCCTTCCCTACGGGCATAGATGGTACGGTTTTACACCCATTCTCCTTTACTTTACTAATTCTCTTTAGGGTATCATGTCGCCCAAGTTCGACTAATCTTCCGGGCTAAATTAACCCCACAGCACCCTCTGCATATGAAGCCTTTGGTGTATGTCCAATGGTTCTCTGCTCCGCGACTTGTGGAGCCTCTGCATATGTTCCGAGTCGAACGCTCCTTATCACCTCGGAAGCAACCATTGGGAGGTGTTGTAGAGCTGACGTCAATTGCACGATTTATTCAGCTGGTACCAGAGTTCGGATCTGATGCATCAAGCTCTCTCAGCCCGAACAATAGTATGGACATATGTCTGCGATTCATTGTCAACTGCTTTGCTGACAAAGAGATATACCAAGCCGTCTGGTAGTACTCATTCGGGTTCTGGTGTCTCTTTATGTTTGCTCACTCCTGTTCATTCATCAAACAAATTGCCCTCTTCCCGCCCCCCGTGTGAAACAACCCCGATTGCCCGCCCTGTCGGTGAAACAATTCAGCAGCCCCATCCTTCACGTGGATGTCACAGTCCACCCGCCCTCCGCCCCTCAGTCGCTGGAAAGACTATTTAATTGCCCTATTTTTACACTACTCTTGTTTTTGTCTGCTAGTCCCCACACAACCACTATCTCTGTGCGATCACTCAACTACTTCCCTTGACTCATGGAACATGCAGTTTTGGGAGGGCCTTCAAGCCCCAACAAACAAGTGATGGTCTTCTACGCACCTTGGAAAGACTTGTTTGATGGAGACCTCTCAGACCTCGAAGAAGATAACACAATGTTATGTGGATGTGACCCAGCTTTACCGGCTCCTTTTAATGAAGTCGAGTGGCAACAACCCCCATTTGCAAACCCTAGAGCTGGAGCGCAGTGTACGAAACTCCCTCTATTTCTTTGATTTATTCCTGACAACCTTACAGTCGTGTATGGCCTGATCACTCCTGGTCGCTTGGCTATCCGGCATAATACACAGCGTCATAAACCGTATATACTCCCTTTCAAAGTGGATGGTCTTCCCCCCTTTTCTCCTGAGCCACTACGTATCAAGCCTCTTACTTACAACCAGCCCTACAAGGACCATCAGCATACCAACAACCTGACCGAATTACACACCAGTAGAAGGCACAGGCGTGGTGGGGCAAGGCAAAAGGCCCGAAATGAAGCTCAGAACTCTGGTGCCATGGATAGCAACTCGAGCAACTCTCTCTTTCAAGGCACTCTGTGGAGAAATAGAGTCGAGCATCTGCTCCCCAAAGGAGTTGATCCCCTTGCTTACTTCAAGAAGCGAGGGAATGCCGGATTAGCCAAGTCAATTGCAGAATCCAAACTCTTGCCCCCTATGCTACACGTTCCTCCTGAAGGGTACTGGGTTCTTCCCATTCGTGATGTTCCTGGTTCTTCTTGGATGCGAGGTTCGATGGGTGACAAACCCTTGGAGGGTTGGGGCCCTCAATACTTTGCAATTCGAACACCTTCTGGTACTGTCTCTGAAAACGTCATCAAGCGCATTTTTGTTCAAGTGAAGTTTCTCCTTGATGGTGATCAGGTTTCGCACAAGCCAATCAAACCTTACATGAAAAATGACCAAGCTCGTTCTGAATTTGATGCTCGCCATGTTGGTATCATCGGTCATTATGGAAAGGATGATGTTGGTCCTCGTGGACTTCGTCTTTCCAAGGACACGTTCAAGCAAGGGGCCGTCGAAATGGATGCGGTTCACCGGTTCTTTAGGACATTGCAACAAGACATTTGCCATATCATAAATTATCAGCTGCGACATCTCGACCCTGTTGTCTATCAGTTCCAGCAGGCGTAAGTGTATTCCATGTTCCTTGAAAATATGTGTTCACACAGCTTAGCATGCGACAGCGAACACTGGCCCTCCTGGAACAAGAGACATGGGATCATGCAGCCGACTTTGGAGGTGCTTTCTTCTGTGTCGCCCTTTCTCGAGGGTATAGTGACAAAGTTCATATGGATAACACC